AGACCTGACTTCCCACGAACAACGTATCCTGAATGATTCAACTGAAAGTCAATATGCGTAGTAAACCAGATTTTTTTTAAAAATCCAATTAAAAGAGCACAGAATGTCAGCGGTCCACTTATGTCTGCCTGTGCTACTTGTTTCATCATACAACTCGCTCTTATTTAACATCGGAAACGCCAGATTTCTTCGGCAACACATGCCAAAAGTATTTTCCTATTTAGATAAATGATTAGGATATAATATATAGACGAGCAACTTTAAATATAGTGTATCAAATTATTTGAGATTGTAAGCTCACGTGATTAAGCAGATAATCATATTTTAGATAAGAATGTGTGTTTCTATAAATAATGACATTCTTCAGATAAGTGCAACAACAGAACATCGAAACTATTTTAGCGGAGCGTGCGAGGACTTAGAGTAAAGCTTCAAAGAGTCTTGCATTTCGCCTGACTTCTTTACATAGGTGAACTAATTGACCGGATTCGTCAGATTCAATGGAAACGCTGAAATTCAATTTAACGAAACAATGACATTTAAAAAGCTGATTTTCTCACTATTGTTCACTTTGTTACATTTTTTAAAAAATATGTAAATCAAGAAATAAAATAATTAAAAAAATCCTTGCCTGGTCAAGTGTAACGTTTCATTGTTTGTTCCTATCTTTTTAGACACCCGTCGACCGTAACCTACCGCCCTGTAACCGTAACCTAGCGCCCTGTAACCGTAACCTACCGCCCTGTAACCGTAACCTACCGCCCTGTAACCGTAACCTACCGCCCTGTAACCGTAACCTAGCGCCCTGTACTCATGTCAACAATGATTAATTGTGCTTTAAAGAGAGGCCAACTCCATAATAAGACCAAACTTAAAATGGATTCTGAAGATAGTTTGTCGTGACATATTTTAAACAATTTGTTATAGTACATGTTTTAGAGAGTTGCTTAAAAAGTTTGTTATAGTACAGGTATTAGACAGTTGTTTACAAAGTTTGATATAGGTCTTAGACCAGCGGTTCTCAACCTGTGGGTCGCGACCCCTTTTGGGATCAAACGACCATTTCATGGAGTCGCCTAAGACCTTCGGAAAAGACATCGACTCCACAAGTATGAATTACTAAGAAAATAATTTTATGGTTGGGAGGTTTACCAAAACATGAGGAACTGTATTAAAATGTTCATGGCATTAAGAAGATGAGAACCTTTTCTTAGACAAAGAGTATGATATAGTGCAAGGCTTTGACTGAAGAACCCAAAATGTCGATCCTTAATCCTAAATGTTGAAAAGGCATCTCTTTTTGTGTACTTCCCGAAAAGCTACTACATTAGAATAGAGCTAAATAGACAGTGCTCACATTTGGTCACTACGACATAATTCATTCTGTTCTGTCAATATTATTCAAATAGATCCCGTCTGTGATGCTATGACATAATTTGCTCCATAATTTTGCTTCCTATACTCCCAAATAAGCTTGTATGCTTTCCTTGCTAGCCTTGCTGACGGTGGTGTAGGAAGGTGGTACGGGAGGCAAGGGGTACGGGAGGCAAGGGGTACTGGAGGCAAGGGGTACGGGAGGCGCGGTATGGCCCACATTTTTTTTTACATTTAAGAGTGGCATTTCCGGCCAAATGCAGAGGGGTGCCACTAACCCTAGCTACCGAAGGGGTGCCACTAACCCTAGCTACCGAAGGGGTGACAATAACCCTAGCTACCGAAGGGGTGCCACTAACCCTAGCTACCGAAGGGGTGCCACTAACCCTAGCTACCGAAGGGGTGCCACTAACCCTAGCTACCAAAGGTGTGCCACTAACGCTAGCTACTGAAGGGATGCCACTAACCCTAGCTACCGAAGGGGTGCCACTAACCCTAGCTACCGAAGGGGTGCCGCTAACCCTAGCCACCGATCCCCACGGTGATTGGGATCGGACCGAAGGGGTGCCACTAACCCTAGCTACCGAAGGGGTGCCACTAACCCTAGCCACCGAAGGGGTGCCACTAACCCTAGCTACCGAAGGGGTGCCACTAACCCTAGCTACTGAAGGGGTGCCACTAACGTTAGCTGCCGAAGGGGTGCCTCTAGCACTAGCTACCAATGGGCTGCGACTTATCCTAGCTGCCGAAGGGGTGCTACTAACCCTAGCTACTGAAGGGGTGCCACTAACGCTAGCTGCCGAAGGGGTGCCACTTATCCTAGCTACTGAAGGGTTGAAACTAAGCCCTAGCTACCAAAGGGGTGCCACTAACCCTAGCTACGTCACTCCCTGCATTATAATTAACACCAGGACTAGAGACCGACCGAATTTCGGCTTCGGCTTCGGTTTCGGCGCCGAAAGTGGCCATTTGATCACTTTCGGCCAAGTTTCGGTTTCGGCCGAAACAAAAAGTTAACTTTCGGCTTTATTTCGGTTTCGGCCGAAAGAGAAAAGTTAACTTTCGGTTTTTCTTCGGTTTCGGCCGAAATTGACTTAGACTTTCGGCCACCGGCCGAAAGTAACTCAGTTTTTGGTCATTTAATACTCAGCGAAAGTGATATTTAACAACAAATTAAGCGTCATTTAAGAACAAACTAAGCGATCGTTGAGAACAAACTAAACGATATTTAACAACAAACTAAGGGACATTTAAGAGCAAACTAAACGAATTATAAAAAAAACTAAGCGATCTTTAAGAACAATCTAAGCGATCTTTAAGAACAAATAAAGCAATCATTAACAAAAACTGGACGATCTTTAACAACAAACTAAGAGATCTTTAAGAACAAACTAAACTATCTTTAACAACAAACTAAACGATCTTTAAGAACAAACTAAACGATCTTTAACAACAAACTAAACGATCTTTAACAACAAACTAAGCGATCTTTAAGAACAAACTAAACGATCTTTAACAACAAACTAAGCGATCTTTAACAACAAACTAAGCGATCTTTAAGATTAAACTAAGCAATATTTTAGAATAAACTATGCGATCTTTATTCTTTATGAACAAACTCACCGATCTTTAAGAACAAACTAAGCGATCTTTAACAACAAACTAAGCGATCTTTAACAACAAACTAAGCGATCTTTAAGATTAAACTAAGCAATATTTTAGAATAAACTATGCGATCTTTATTCTTTATGAACAAACTCACCGATCTTTAAGAACAAACTAAGCGATCTTTAACAACAAACTAAGCGATCTTTAACAACAAACTAAGCGATCTTTAAGATTAAACTAAGCAATATTTTAGAATAAACTATGCGATCTTTATTCTTTAAGAACAAACTAACCAATCAATAACAACCAACAAAACGATCTTTAACAACAAATTAAGCGATCTTTTAGAACCACAATTTTTAGAGACCCAGTTTAAACAAAATAATATTTGCATTAACTCCCCCCCCCCCAATTTTAGCCAAATTTTCTCTTACCATACTAATTTTTAAAAAAAATTGTAAAGCAATTTAAATTACATTTATATTAAAATTCATTAGACTAGATCAAGGGTCTCAAACTAAAATCATCAGGGGGGGGGGGCGCAGGAGGTAGTGTCTGAATGAGAGTGGGCCGCATCAAGTAATCCAAAAAAAAAGCGATTACAACTGTTACAATCTGCTCAACCTTTATAAATAACAATAAAATCATTAAGGGTTCTCAAGAACTAGGATTCACTTTCATCCGCCTACTCACTGTTGCATACAAAAATATATAAAAAATAATCAGAATTAGACAGTCGGTGTGATTCGACTGAAACCGTCGCGGAGAATCACGTTATAGATATGAGAATGAGGGAAACGGGCCGGCACATTTACACTAAACTTTTCCGTCATGTAGCGGGCCGAAAAATATCGTCTTGCGGGTCACAAATGGCTTGCGGGCCGCGAGTTTGAGACCCCTATTTTAGATGTTTATTTATTAATATTCACGATTATCTCATTTTTTATAAAAAGAATGTAAATATTTATACTTTCCCTCATCATTTTCGATGTATGCAGATGTATGCGAGATCGAATTTCAAAATAACTTAATATTACATTTTCGGTTTCGGCTTCGGTTTCGGCCGAAATTCATTTTTAATATTCGGCCTTTTTTCGGTTTCGGCCGAAAGTCATTTTTAAACCTTCGGCCTTTTTTCGGTTTCGGCCGAAAGTCATTTTAAACTTTCGGCCTATTTTGGGCTTCGGCCGAAATCAGAAAATCACTTTCGGTCGGTCTCTAACCAGGACACTGACTCAGATCCACCCGGCATGTTCTCATACTAGATTTTAACAATAAAACAACAACTTTACCTGGTTAAGTCCTTTGATATTTACTGTTTATATACACTTACTAACTCATTTTTCCCATCCGTAAACATACATCATACAGTTTAATTTGATATTTGCGTGTTTTTAAGAAATGGTGAAGAATATTGAGAGCTCTTTCACCAAAGTCTTTAGGTCTAGTTCTATCGCCAAAGTCTTTAGATGTAGTTCTGTCACCAAAGTCTTTAGATCTAGTTCTATCGCCAAAGTCTTTAGATCTAGTTCTGTCGCCAAAGTCTTTAGATCTAGTTCTGTCGCCAAAGTCTTTAGATCTAGTTCTGTCAAGTGACCGTAACACCTCTTCCAAATGTACACAGAACATAAACAGAGATCTACATTGGGGACAACAACACACAACTACCAAAAATTTTTTTTTTAATAAAAAAAGAAATAAACTGTCTCACCTCGACAAATCTTTGATAACGCTTTCAACTTGTCGTCCATGTCTGAACCCGTTTGGTTGAAGGTGAGAGCGTCCCTCGTTTCTAACTTCTCGTTCAGTCGCTCCTTCATCAGCTCCGTGATCTCTCTCATCATGTAGTAGCACTTTGATCTCTCGCGATCCGCCCACATGTTATCGTAGCAAAGGACCCCGATGTTCTTGTAGCTGAAGTGTTTCATCAAGGCGACCAGGCAATAGCCGGCCTTCTCGTACACGCCGTGTATTCTTGTCAGGAGATTGTACGTCTGTTTGTTGCCTAGCGCCTTGACCAGGGCCCCCGCGGTTATAACGGGAATACCCCAACGTCCGGAGAACCCCGCCGTGCCCGAAACGGCGTAATCGCAGGCGGGTCCCAGGAAAACATCCACAGATTTTCGGTTGTACATGTCGATGGCTTCCAATGGGCCTTGGGTGTCGGAGCATTGAGAATCCCTGTATTCCAAGTCGACCGTGTAGTTGGTTATAAAATGTGTTTGTGTCTGGATGTAGTGGAGCGCGCTCTCCAGAGCAGGGCGGACCAAAGACATCCGAAACGGTGCGTTTCCCTCAAAGGGAAGGATAACTCCCAGGCGAACATGTTTGTTGCGGTGCCGCTTATCTGCCGCTGATTCACAGGTCGCTGAGTAGCTTTTTGATGGAGTAGACGTAAGAGGGTGTCCCCGCACTGCGAAGGCGGCTAGAAAGGCGCAACACCACAACCAGGTGCGGCACCTCTGATGGAAAACAGCTTTCGGCAAAATGATGCTCGCCTCTGTCACATGATCCATTTGGAATTGGTCACAGTTGGAAAGCGTTGTGTTGCCGTCAATGAAGTTTGAACCATGTTAGTACGTTGGTAAAGTAACTTTGATCAACCCCCATTTTCTCAGTTATATTAATCTACTTAACTTTGATCGTAAATCCTATTGTAATAAATAGATCATATTGTGGATCATGTCTCTTGACAACTGGGGGAAAAAGTGGGAGGGGGACTGGAGACGGGAGAGACTTAAGAGTAAAATTGATAACATAAAAAGATACACTTAAAGAAGACAGTAAGGTAAATGTACATATATGATTGTGTCCCAAACAACAAATGCATGCATTTCGTTCGAATGATTTCAAAAGAGAAGACATTTTAGTGTCGTCCATTGCAAGCCAAATGCTCAATCCCCGTCTTGCCTCCCAAAACAGACAATCCTATCAACAAGTTAGCACAACAACTGTGCTGTTCTCAAGGAAGAGTCAATTCTATGATTCTTTGAAATTTTCTAGACCGGGTTGGCGAGGTACATTTGGGTTGTCTCTTTACCCCAGTATATTTTTTAAACTAGTCTGACAGTTAGCTGGCCTTTTTTGGTATTCCCTTGTCTGAACGTGATCCTGAGATTTTTCCCAGTTCATCTGTCTTCAGCATTTCAGCCGCTTAACGTCAATACGTTTGGTCCCCCACCTGGCCGTTCTTCATTCTCTTGTCTAAGGTCGTTGTTTAGTTGGACTTCCGCGTCCCTACCCCCCCCCCTTTTTTTTTTCACTGCTCTCTGCTGCCCCGTTTCCAGCTACCTGCATTCTAATAGAAGCTTTTAAGTCCGATGAAATATGATACANTTCTTCATTCTCTTGTCTAAGGTCGTTTTTTAGTTGGCCTTCCGCGTCCCTACCCCCCCCCTTTTTTTTTTCACTGCTCTCTGCTGCCCCGTTTCCAGCTACCTGCATTCTAATAGAAGCTTTTAAGTCCGATGAAATATGATACAAAAATAGCTCTTGTTACATAACTGTGGGGATGTGAGCTGTGTCAACATGTACAATATATGCGAAGATGTAAGTTGCCTTTATAATTAAACACTCTACTGTCTCAATTGTACAATATATGCGAAGATGGAAGTTGCCTTTATAATTGAACACTCTACTGTCTCAATATGTACAATATATGCGAAGATGTAAGTTGCCTTTATAATTAAACACTCTACTGTCTCAATATGTACAATATATGCGAAGATGGAAGTTGCCTTTATAATTAAACACTCTACTGTCTCAATATGTACATCATATGCGAAGATGGAAGTTGATATTGTCATTCTCAATGTATTGCCCCAACATCGTCTTTGAGATTGTCAGTCTCAATGTATTGCCTCAACATTGTCTTTGAGATTGTCAGTCTCAATGTATTGCCTTAACATCGTCTTTGAGATTGTCAGTCTCAGTGTATTGCCTAAACATCGTCTTTGAGATTGGCAGTCTCGATGTATTGCCTCAACATTGTCTTTGAGATTGTCAGTCTCAATGTATTGCCTCAACATCGTCTTTGAGATTGTAATTCTCAAAGTATTGCCTCAACATCGTCTTTGAGATTGTCAGTCTCAATGTATTGCCCCAACATCGTCTTTGAGATTGTCAGTCTCAATGTATTGCCCCAACATCGTCTTTGAGATTGTCAGTCTCAATGTATTGCCTCAACATCGTCTTTGAGATTGTCAGTCTCAATGTATTGCCTCAACATCGTCTTTGAGATTGTCAGTCTCAATGTATTGCCTCAACATCGTCTTTGAGATTGTCAGTCTCAATGTATTGCCTAAACATCGTCTTTGAGATTGTCAGTCTCAATGTATTGCCTAAACATCGTCTTTGAGATTGTCAGTCTCAATGTATTGCCTCAATATCGTCTTTGAGATTGTCAGTCTCTCGACTTAAACTTTAAAAAAAAACAACATGTAACTCATCGCGTTACCAACAAGACAGAGGCAGTTCGATTACCAACAAGACAGAGGCAGTTCGATTACCAACAAGACAGAGGCAGTTCGATTACCAACAAGACAGAGGCAGTTCGATTACCAACAAGACAGAGGCAGTTCGATTACCAACAAGACAGAGGCAGTTCGATTACAACAAGACAGAGGCAATTCGATTACCAACAAGACAGAGGCAGTTCGATTACCAACAAGACAGAGGCAGTTCGATTACCAACAAGACAGAGGCAGTTCGATTATCAACAAAACAGAGGCACTTCGATTACCAACAAGGCAGAGGCAATTCGATTACCAACAAGACAGAGGCAGGAACCAGACCAACGATCGATCCATGCTGAAGTCGTTGTTGTTGTGTAATGTCCAATAAATATTTCTTTATTTTGACGATGTAATGCGATGAAAGGGTTGGGGTGTTGGGAGGGGAAGTTGGTGTGTTGGGATGATGGTATCAACTTTATTTATTTATTTATTTAGGCATTTTTATATAGCGCTTATCATAAAGCTCTAAGCGCTTTACAATTATTAAAACATGTAAACTAAGTAAATACAAATGAGACACTAGGATAGTAACTACTATTCTATAGAAACAATGAAAATGGCTATAAAAAGAGGACACTTTGACACTTCAGGATTAAACCGAAACAGAAAATTAGGTAGGGCAAGGAGGGTGCATCACAGGTCATAGGCGGACCTAAACAGATGAGTTTTAAGGGACTTTTTGAAAATGGACGAGGTTTCACTATGACGTATATGGAAGGGGAGCTGGTTCCAGAACGTGGGCCCATGGAAGCAGAAGGAGCGTTCACCGATGGTCTTAGTTTTAGTTCTTGGGATTGAGAGGGTTCTACTGTCAATGGAAGAACGTAGTTGTCTTGTGGGGATGTAAGGAAGCAACAGTTCAGAGAGATAGACAGGAAAGTGAGGGTCAGTGAACGAGTTGAAGCAAAGATTGGCAGACTTGTATTTGATGCGAGAGGATATTGGAAGCCAGTGGAGTTGCTGCATGTGTGGTTGAATGTGGTCATGTTTCTTTGATTTAAAAATGAGTCTGCATGCTGAGTTCTGTGCCTTCTGAAGTTTGTCTATGTGGTGTTGAGGAATGCCTGAGAGAAGAATGTAACAGTAGTCAAATTTTGAAAGAATGAGTGAAAAGACGAGAGTTTTTGTGGCATCAAAGGAGAGGAGGTGTGTAATGGTGCTGATTTTTCTAATTTCGTTATATGCTGATCTGCATATATTCGTGACATGTTTGTCCATGGAGAGGGTATCCGTAAGCGTGACTCCAAGGTTTCTGGCAGAGGGAGAGAGTGTGATGTCAGAGTTGCCAATAGATATAGAAGAATGAGCGAATGGAGGGAGAGGTTTGTTTTGATAGTGGATGGGAAGGATTTCTATTTTATCATCATTTAGTTTGTTGCAAGTCATCTAACGCTTTACATCGTCCACTCACTCCTGTATGCGAAGGATTGTGGCATCAAGTTGATCAGGAAAGCAAGAGTCACTGATTTGAGTGTCATCAGCAAAGGATTGACTGGAAACTGAGTGGTGGCTAATGAGAGATGATAGAGGTTTAGTGTAGAGGATAAAAAGGACCGGCCCAAGGACCGATCCTTGAGGAACTCCAATAGACAGGGCTGAAGGTTTGGAAGAGCGGTTGGAAATAGAGACCTTTTGAGTTCTGTCAGAAAGATATGATTGAAACCAGTTTATCAAACCGTTCCACATTTAGTATAGAATGATATGAAATGCAGATGTACTTAAGATACAAATAATAATTGAAAATTATTGGTTTAGTTGTTGAACATATTCCAGTAAGATGTTTATTAGTCGGGAAGTTTTCTCTCATAAAGCAAAAAAATGAAAAATAAATGTGACATCGGATGAAACAGCTAAGCAGGTCACATTCGTTTAAACATAAAGCGATTAAAAAAGAACAACCTCTAGGTCGTAAGAAATGTATACAATGTAGGATTCTAAACAAGGGTATGGGGAGATAATTTGACTTTGAAGAGATAAAAAATCTCACCTCTAGAAATTTTCGCTAAATATTTCAGCTTTGTCTCAATCTCTGAGTCTGTTTGGTTGAAGAGCTGGGCATCCTTGTTGACCAAGTTGTGGCTCAGGGTGTTCTTCAGGTGGTAGAACACAGCTTCCATCCTGAACGTGCACTCGGACTTGCTGCCCTCGACCTCGACGTTGTCGTACCACATAAAGCCGATGTTGCTGTAGCCCATACGTTCGAGGATGACGACGAAGGCCTCGGCCACCTTTTTATAGTTGCCCAGCATCCTGGTGAGAAGCTTGTACTCGTTCTTGTTACTCAGCTCGTTCACGAGCCCCGTCGCCGTCATGATGGGAATCCCCCAGATCCCCGTGAAATGCGCGACGGTCGAAAGAGCAAAGTCGCACCCAGGTCCGAGGAAGAGGTCAGCCGATTTTGAGTTGTACATGTCGATGGCCTCCAGGGGTCCATATTTTTCCGAGCATTTAGAATCCCTGAAATCCAGCTCCATCTTGAAGTTCTGGAGAAGAATGGTTTTGTCGATGACGAAGTCGCGGGCGCTTTCGATGGCAGGGCGCACCAGCGCCATGCGGTACAGGTGTTCGCCCTCCACCGGAAGGATGACGCCGATGCGAAGGACATTTTGACGATGTCTCTTGATGGCGGCGGACTCACAAGTCGCAGGGACGTTGGTCATAGAAGA